CTTTTTTTTTTATAATTTTATTTATTTATTTTTTTCCCCCAAAGCCCCAGTAGATAGTTGTATGTCATAGCTGCACATCCTTCTAGTTGCTGTATCTGGGACACGACCGGAGAAGTGGTGCGTAGGTGCGCGTCCGGGATCCAAACCTGGGCCACCAGCAGCGGAGCGCGTGCATTCAACTGCTAAGCCACGGGGCCGGCCTGGAAGCTCAGGTCTTTACTGGCACTGGTGAGCGAAGGGCAAGGTCAGGACTGCTTTCCCGGTTAGCTAAATTTGGGCAAATCAACCAGGCTGGTCTGGCAGTGGGGTGAGTGTGTGCTGAGGACAGGGGCCAACACAGGAGCTGGACTGCAGACAGGAACATGCAGAGTTTTGTGGCTAAGGCTGATGTGTTCTTCCCATAAGAATGGCTGGAAACTCATTCGTTGCAGGTAAGGAAGTAGGTACCCCACGGGAGGCTGAGGGGCAGAGTGACTGAGTGGGATGAATAGGGGGTTGAGCAAGTGCAGCTTGTAAGACTGGTGGCCTACAGCTCAGCCCACTCAGGACCCTGTGGGGGCAGCAGCAGCACAGTGGGGGGCAGTGGGAGAGAGTCCCATCCTATCCCCTACGTGCAGTGTATGCTGGCCTGGCTCCTGGAGCCTGGGGGCTCTCCCGGTTTCTGGTGGGAAGGAAGGATAGGCTCATAAAGAGCATGAGAGTACAGAGAAAGGTAGAAAGCTCCGGCGCGAGAGCTAACTCAAGAAGAAGGTCGTGGGGGCCAGCCTGGTGGCTTAGTGGTTAAGTTCATGCGCTCCTCTTCGGTGGCCCAGGGTTCGCTGGTTTGTGCGGACCTACTCACCACTCAAGCAATGCTGAGGCGGCCTTCCACGTAGAAGAGCTATGAAAGACCTATAACTAGGATACACAACTATGCACTGGGGCTTTTTTTTTTTTTAAATAATTATTTATTTTTTTCCCCCCAAAGCCCCAGTAGATAGTTGTATGTCATAGCTGCACATCCTTCTAGTTGCTGTATGTGGGACGCGGCCTCAGCATGGCCGGAGAAGCGGTGCGTCGGTGTGCGCCCGGGATCCGAACCCTGGCCGCCAGCAGCAGAGCACGCGCACCTAACCGCTAAGCCACGGGGCCGGCCCTGCACTGGGGCTTTGGGGAGAGGGAAAAAAAGAAGGGCATGGCCTGGGCCAATAAAAAGAGAGGCTGTGATCTCGGGAGCAAAGGTGGAGAGGCACTTAAATGACAAACTGCAGCGACCCTAGTGTGCCCTGGGGCCCATTGCTGCCCCAGCCTGCTGCTGCCTGTCTTTGCCTCACAGAATAGCACAGATCATCAGGATGGTTCTGTAAGAACCACCAACAGCACCATGGGGACAACTGTACTGTGAAGCAAGTGTGGGCCTTCAGTGTCCCCAGGGCCCCCTTTGCCCTGTTCTGTTGCCTCGTCCTGGGCATCCTGACTCTCTCAAGCCCTGGCCTCTTTTCCCTTACAGATTCTATTGCAAATCTCAGTCCTGGGCGGCACCCAGTTCCCTTTGTCTGACCTCGGTGCCCTCTCACCACCTAACTTCTTCACCCCCTTCTTCCCCCTCCTTTCTTCTGTAGCTTTCTCCCAGTCATCTCTACCTGCAAGAACCATAGACTCAGGATGCCTGGGTCACTCCTTCCCTCCTCCCCTGCTGGCCCCTGCCAAGACAGAGCTCCACCCCGGCACCAGGTCCGCCAGACCCATCTGCCCTGCCTCAGTGTGGGTGGAGCCAGAGGAGCCAGTCATAGCCACACAGCCTGCCCGTGGGGCTACTTGGGGTCCAGCTTTGGGGACAGCATGCAGCTCTGCATGGCCAGAAGAGAGGAGCTTGTGGGATCTGCAGTTCCTTCTGGGTCTGCTTCCAACTCAGATCCTAAAGCATGTGGATGGAATGCACATTCAAGCTCCTGAGTGCCTGCAGTGGCCGCAAGTGTCCTTTATCTCACCTCACCCTGTCAACCTTACCTAGGGAAGGTGCCATGCATTGCACACACTGCTGGGAGTGGCGGCCAAAAGAGGGACTCACTGGCAAAACCTTCACCATGTCAAATGCTCCCACACCTGGTGCTGGTCAGAGTGCCAAAGTGACTCTGGTCCCATTCCACAAATGAGGAAAATGGAGCCCTGCTTGATAATCTGCCCAAGGTCCAAGCCATCTGCTGCATGGCAAGGTGGGCTTGGGTCTCTGGCCTGCCAGGTGAAAGCACTTCTGACCACAGCCCGGCTGAGAAGGGGCTGAGATCCATCTCTGTCCACTTAATCCCCCTGCCGATGGGGGGATGCTAAATCACACCCAACTCCCTCTACCTTTCTTCCCAGGGTGCCATCCTCACCCTAACAAGAGTGACTCCTTGCAACCACGACATACAACTATCTACTGGGGCTTTGGGGGACAAAAAGGAGGAGGATTGGCAATAGATGCTAGCTTAGAGCTGGTCTTCCTCAGCAAAAAGAGTAGGATTAGCACGGATGTTAGCTCAGGGCTGATCTTCCTCAAAAAAAAAAAAAAAAAAAAAAGAGTGACTCCTGGCATGGCCTGGGGCAGCTTCAGAGCCAGAGGGCTCTTTTACCCTCTCAGCCAGGAAAGCCCCCCTTCCCCTCTCAGATCCATAATAGTCACCAAACACACACAGGCCACATATCAAACTCCTGCATTTTATTTCTCTAGAAAGCCCTGGCCCCATCTCCAGGGCTACCGGAAGGTAGAGAAGCTCTGGGTGCTGGTGCAGGAGGCATAGGGCACGCCCCGAGAGCGAATCTGCAGAGTGTGGAAGGTGAGGGGTGGGTTGGGGCCTGAGGAGCCTGGGTTCAGGGACTCGGTGTGAGGCTCCAACACTGTCACAGGGACCGCATAGGACAGCGTCTGGGGCCGGTCATCATGGCGTCTCACTGTGCCCTTGCCCAGGAGGTGCAGGATGCAGGAAAGGACATCGGTGCTACTGCAGGCAGACCCCCTGCCAAGGCTGCTGACCAAACCCCTAGGAGGACATGGGCCCTTCTCCCAAGCCTCCAGCACCTGGTGTGGAGAGGAAGGGGCAACAATAGGTCAGAGACACCCTGCTTACCCCACCTCTAGCTTCCACTCCAACCACAAGCTGCCAGGACAGGAAGCCCCAAGGACATTATGTGCACCCCACCCTCACTCCTCACACACTACAGGCTCCATAGTGAACCAGATGCTTCAAACGTGGACCCACCTCCTCCTGTGGACTGCCTCCCCACCCCAAAGCTCCTTCACCCACTGCCCACCCCTGCCTACCAGACAGACAAGCTGGTCAATGTGCAGCCCTTCGTCTCCATGGGCCTTGAGGATTCGGACGATGAGGCAGTTCAGAAGGTTCCGTCTCTTCTCCAAGTTCTGGCCCTCTTCATCCTCAGCTTTCAGGTATGTCTGAGGTGGGATGAGCCACACATTGCCCCTCCTTGGCCTGGGCTCCTCACTGCCATCTCGAATCTTGAGCACCCCTGAAATAAGTGCTGGTCACTTCGTGGGGGGCCCATGAGGAGCTTGGCCCTGGCTCAGAACAGAGGCCCCTCTGCCCTAAGTGCCTACCTCCTGGGACGTCCTTCTGCTCGTCAAGGTCCAGGGGGCCTCTTGAAGAGGTAAGAGGCCCAATTGCCTGATTCAGCATGTCTGGAGAGAGCCCGGAGAGCGCCAGCAGACTCTCCATGGAGACTGCCTGAGAGAAGGGTAGGGAAACATTTAGGGCCTCCCGGAGGCTTAGAGCAGACAGGGTAGAGGGAAGGAGGACAGGGAGTCAAGGTGTAGGGAAGAAAGGTGAGGGACAGGTGGGAGGTAGCAGGGATGCTCAGAGGGGCTGGGCCACCTTCAGGTCGTTGAGGTACAGCAGCAGCCACATCTGCACGGTGGACACATGCAGGGTCTGGTCCCCGAACTGCAGCTCAGCCCGGCCCAGCCACGTCCACTGCAGTCGCAACTGTGGGCCCCGCTCTAGGGCAGGGTAGCTCTGACCTGAGAAGGATCAGGGAGAACGAGGGAGACAGAGCAGGGAAAAGAGGGAGTCGGGGCTGTGAGGACACACCACTGGTGGAGCTATGCCCCCGCCCATCTCTGCAGAGTGTGTGGCCCAGCGTTTATGGACACTTTGGTTCCTGGTCTGAGCTTCCAGAG